AAAGTTCCCTCTACACCTACTTTCTGCAGGGTTTTTATCATAAATGGGTGTTGAATTTTGTCAAAAGCTTTCTCTGCATCTATTGAGATGATCATATGGTTTTTCTCCTTCAATTTGTTAATATGGTTAATCACATTGATAGATTTGCGTATATTGAAGAATCCTTGCATTCCTGGAATAAACCCCACTTGATCATGGTGTATGATCCTTTTAATGTGCTGTTGGATTCTGTTTGCTAGTATTTTGTTGAGGATTTTTGCATCTATGTTCATCAGTGATATTGGCCTGTAGTTTTCTTTCTTTGTGACATCCTTGTCTGGTTTTGGTATCAAGGTGATGGTGGCCTCGTAGAATGAGTTTGGGAGTGTTCCTCCCTCTGCTATATTTTGGAAGAGTTTGAGAAGGATAGGTGTTAGCTCTTCTCTAAATGTTTGATAGAATTCGCCTGTGAAGCCATCTGGTCCTGGGCTTTTGTTTGTTGGAAGATTTTTAATCACAGTTTCAATTTCAGTGTTTGTGATTGGTCTGTTCATATTTTCTATTTCTTCCTGATTCAGTCTTGGCAGTTTGTGCATTTCTAAGAATTTGTCCATTTCTTCCAGATTGTCCATTTTATTGGCATAGAGTTGCTTGTAGTAATCCCTCATGATTTTTTGTATTTCTGCAGTGTCAGTTGTTACTTCTCCTTTTTCATTTCTGATTCTATTGATTTGAGTCTTCTCCCTTTTTTTCTTGATGAGTCTGGCTAATGGTTTATCTATTTTGTTTATCTTCTCAAAGAACCAGCTTTTAGTTTTATTGATCTTTGCTATTGTTTCCTTCATTTCTTTTTCATGCATTTATTTCTGATCTGATTTTTATGAGTTCTTTCCTTCTGCTAACATTGGGGTTTTTTGTTCTTTCTCTAATTGCTTTAGGTGCAAGGTTAGGTTGTTTATTCGAGATGTTTCCTGTTTCTTAAGGTAGGATTTTATTGCTATAAACTTCCCTCTTAGAACTGCTTTAGCTGCATCCCATAGATTTTGGGTCATCGTGTCTCCATTGTTATTTGTTTCTAGGCATTTTTTGATGGCCTCTTTGATTTCTTCAGTGATCACTTCGTTTTTAAGTAGTGTATTGTTTAGCCTCCATGTGTTTGTATTTTTTACAGATCTTTTCCTGTAATTGATATCTAGTCTCATGGCGTTGTGGTCGGAAAAGATACTTGATACAATTTCAATTTTCTTAAATTTACCAAGGCTTGATTTGTGACCCAAGATATGATCTATCCTGGAGAATGTTCCATGAGCACTTGAGAAAAATGTGTATTCTGTTGTTTTTGGATGGAGTGTCCTATAAATATCAATTAAGTCCATCTTGTTTAATGTATCATTTAAAGCTTGTGTTTCCTTATTTATTTTCATTTTGGATGATCTGTCCATTGGTGAAAGTGGGGTGTTAAAGTCCCCTACTATGAATGTGTTACTGTCGATTTCCCCTTTTATGGCTGTTAGTATTTGCCTTATGTATTGAGGTGCTCCTATGTTGGGTGCATAAATATTTACAATTGTTATATCTTCTTCTTGGATCGATCCCTTGATCATTATGTAGTGTCCTTCTTTGTCTCTTCTAATAGTCTTTATTTTAAAGTCTATTTTGTCTGATATGAGAATTGATACGCCAGCTTTCTTCTGGTTTCCATTTGCATGAAATAACTTTTTCCATCCCCTCACTTTCAGTCTGTATGTGTCTCTAGGTCTGAAGTGGGTCTCTTGTAGACAGCAAATATATGGGTCTTGTTTTTGTATCCATTCAGCCAATCTGTGTCTTTTGGTGGGAGCATTTAGTCCATTTACATTTAAGGTAATTATTGATATGTATGTTCCTCTTCCCATTTTCTTAATTGTTTTGGGTTCATTATTGTAGGTCTTTTCCTTCTCTTGTGTTTCTTGCCTAGAGAAGTTCCTTTAGCAGTTGTTGTAAAGTTGGTTTGATGGTGCTAAACTCTCTCAGCTTTTGCTTGTCTGTAATGTTTTAATTTCTCCATCAAATCTGAGAGAGATCCTTGTTGGGTAGAGTAATCTTGGTTGCAGGTTTTTCTCCTTCATCACTTTCAGTATGTCCTGCCACTCCCTTCTGTGTTGCAGAGTTTCTGCTGAGAGATCAGCTGTTAACCTTAAGGGGATTCCCTTGTGTGTTATTTGTTGTTTTCCCCTTGCTGCTTTTAATGTTTTCTTTGTATTTAATTTTTGACAGTTTGATTAATAAGTGTCTTGGCGTATTTCTCCTTGGGTTTACCCTGTATGGGACTCTCTGTGCTTCCTGGACTTGATTACCTATTTCCTTTCCCATATTAGGGAAGTTTTCAACTATAATCTCTTCAAATATTTTCTCAGTTCCTTTCTTTTTCTCTTCGTCTTCTGGAACCCCTATAATTCGAATGTTGGTGCATTTGATGTTGTCCCAGAGGTCTCTGGGACTGCCCTCAGTTCTTTTCATTCTTTTTTCTTTATTCTTCCCTGCAGTAGTTATTTCCACTATTTTATCTTCCAGGTCACTTATCCGTTCTTCTGCCTCAGTTATTCTGCTATTGATCCCATCTAGAGTATTTTTAATTTCATTTATTGTTTTGTTCGTCGTTGTTTGTGTCATCTTTTGTTCTTCTACGTTCTTGTTAAATGTTTCTTGCATTTTGTCTGTTCTGTTTCCAAGATTTTGGATCATCTTTACTACCAGTACTCTGAATTCTTTTTCAGGTAGACTGCCTATTTCCTCTCCATTTGTTAGGTCTGGTGGGTTTTTACCTTGCTCCTTCATCTGCTGTGTGTTTCTCTGTCTTCTCATTTTGCTTAATTAACCGTGTTTGGGGTCTCCTTCTCACAGGTTGCAGGTTCGTAGTTCCCATTGTTTTTGGTGTCTGTCCCCAGTGGCTAAGGTTGGTTCAGTGGGTTGTGTAGGCTTCCTGGTGGAGGGGACTAGTGCCTGTGTTCTGCTGGATGAGGCTGGATCTTGTCTTTCTGGTGGGCAGGTCCACGTCTGGTGGTGTGTTTTGGGGTGTCTGTGAACTTATTATGATTTTGGGTAGCCTCTCTGCTAATGGGTGGGGTTGTGTTCCTGTCTTGCTAGTTGTTTGGCATAGGATGTCCAGCACTGTAGATTGCTGTAGATTGCTGTAGATTGTTGAGTGAAGCTGGGTGCTGGTGTTGAGATGGAGACCTCTGGGAGACTTTCGCCGTTTGATATTATGTGGAGCTGGGAGGTCTCTTGTGGACCAGTGTCCTGAAGTTGGCTCTCCCTCCTCAGAGGTACAGCACTGACTCCTGGCTGCAGCACCAAGAGCCTTTCATCCACACGGCTCAGAATAAAAGGGAGAAAAAGTAGAAAGAAAGAATTAGTAGAAGTAGAAAGAAAGAAAGAAGGGAGGGAGGGAGGGAGGGAGGAAGGAAGGAAGGAAGGAGGGAAGGAAGGAAAAAAAATGAAAGGAGATAAAGTAAAATATAATATAATAAAGTTATTAAAATAAAAAAATTATTAAGAGAAAAAAAAGAAAAATTTAAAAAAACAAAACAAAAAAAATGGACGGGTAGAACCCTAGGACAAATGGTGGAAGCAAAGCTGTACAGACAAAATCTCACACAGAAGCATACACATACACTCTCACAAAAAGAGGAAAAGGGGAAAAAATCATAAATCTTGCTCTCAAATTCCACCTCCTCAATTTGGGATGACTCGTCTCTTCAAGTATTCCAGAGATGCAGAGTACATCAAGTTGATTGTGGAGCCTTAATCCGCCGCTTCTGAGGCTGCTGGGAAAGATTTCCCTTTCTCTTCTTTGTTCTCACAGCTCCTAGGGTCTCTGCTTTGGATTTGGCCCCGCCTCTGTGTAGGTTGCCGGAGGGCGTCTGTTCTTCACTCAGACAGGATGGGGTTAAAGGAGCCGCTCATTCGGAGGCTCTGGCTCACTCAGGCTAGGGGGAGGGAGGGGCACGGAGTGCAGGGCGAGCCTGTGGCGGCAGAGGCCGGAGTGACGTTGCACCAGCCTGAGGCGCGTCGTGCGTTCTCCCGGGGGAGTGGTCCTTGGATCCTGGGACCCTGGCAGTGCCAAGCTGCACATGTTCCCCGGAAGGGGGGTGTTGATAGTGACCTGTGCTCGCACACAGGCCGCTTCGTGGCGGCGGCGGCAGCAGCAGCCTTAGCGTCTCACGCCCGTCTCTGGGGTCCACGCTTTCAGCCGTGGCTCGCGCCCGTCTCTGGAGCTCCTTTAAGCAGCGCTCTTAATCCCCTCTCCTCGCGCACCAGGAAACAAAGAGGGAAGAAAAAGTCTCTTGCCTCTTTGGCAGGTCTAGACTTTTTGCCGGACTCCCTCCCGGCTAGCCGTGGCGCACTGACCCCCTGCAGGCTGTGTTCACGCTGCCAACCCCAGTCAGCTCGCAGCCCCGCCCACCCCGGCGAGGGAGCAGACAAGCCTCTCAGGCTGGTGAGTGCCGGTCGGCCCTGATCCTCTGTGCGGGAATCTCTCCTCTTTGGCCTGCGCACCCCTGTGGCTGTGCTCTCCTGCGCGGCTCCGAAGCTTTCTCCCTCCGCCACCCGCAGTCTCCGCCCGCAAAGGGGCCTCCTAGAGTGTGGAAACTTTTCCTCCTTCACAGCTCCCTCCCACTGGTGCCGGTTCCGTCCCTATCCTTTTGTCTCTGTTTATTCTTTTTTTCTTTTGCCCTACCCAGGTACGTGGGGGGTTTCTTGCCTTTTGGGAGGTCTGAGGTCTTCTGCCAGCGTTCAGTAGGTGTTCCGTAGGAGTTGTTCCACGTGTAGATGTATTTTTGGTGTATCTGTGGGGAGGAAGGTGATCTCTGCGTCTTAGTCTTCCGCCGTCTTCCCCTGTTTTGTACTTTTAAGAAAATATCTAGTCATAAATTTACTTTTTAAAATTAATTTAATGAAAAACCTATTTTTTTGTGTGTTCTACTGTTGTTTAAAGTCAATGTTAAGTTACTTTTGTGACCAAAATTTTTGTCTTCCCACAGGTGACTTGTATATAGGAGGAGTGGCCAAGGAAACATATAAATCCTTGCCGAAACTCGTCCATGCCAAGGAGGGCTTTCAAGGCTGCCTGGCATCAGTTGATCTAAATGGACGGCTTCCAGACCTCATCTCAGATGCTCTTTTCTGCAATGGACAGATTGAGAGAGGCTGTGAAGGTACTAGATCTTTGTTATCACACTCAAAATAATTCTAATTCCACCTATAAATGAGAACAGCAAAATTCTCTGGCAGGCAAAATTTTCATTCACAATTGACCAAACCCCCAGTTACGGCTTAAAAGTCCTTATTCGTGTTTTAAACTTTTCATCCCATAAATCTTAAATTTTATGGACTGTTTGCAAACCTAGACTAATGCCTGATATAAAATGGGAGCTATGGATCTTGTTATTTTCTGCTTCTATGCATTCTTTAGTTCACCTAATTAGTGTGCTAATCACTTCTGCAGTGCTTTCGTTATAGCATTAAATAGATACTCCACTTGGACTAGATAAACATATTTACTCCAGCAAATGTTAATCAATTTGAGCCTGCTTTTTGAAATCTACATTCAATAGGATACAACAAGAGAATAACATTCAGATACCCATTCTCAAATCACGGTTTGGTTTGTTTCTACCTGGCAGCAAGAGTGTCTCCCATATATTATCAGTTTGTTTTAGCAAAAATTGGATTCTTCTATTACCCAAAGCTAATATTCCATACTTCAGAAATGTGCTCAAGTATCTTTCTGTACTTTTGTGTTCTCTATCAGACTAAGATCTGTAGGAGTACTTTTTGATTGCTACTTTCATTTTAGATAATTTTCACTTCAACACCTCAGGTTATTTGAGCCAATTCTCCCTCCATAAATGCAATTTAATCACATTATCCTGAATTTTGTAGCTGTGAATGTGTTGCTGCTTCTCTTTTAATGTTGAATACAGTTTGAGCCATTTTGAAAATTTTAGATTCATAAGGAAATTTCATATGGGGGAAGCGAAGAAAGATGTGAATTCCTGTCTCCCAGGAGATTATGAATCATGTCTTCTCAGCCAAAATAATGCTATTAGAATTAGCAGTTACCTAAGTACATAAAAAATTTTTATTTGGAAATACATTTTTTTCTCTGTAACATAAGTTTCCCTGAAAAGTCAGGTAAAATTCAAATTGTGTTTTAATCACGCCAGAGGATAAGATTATTTAATGGAAATCTTTATTGAGTTCATTTTTAATGTTTTGCTGTATTTATTTACTTTGTTTCAAATTTTGGTATAAATGCCCTTTTGTGAAACAAAGGGAAACTATGTGTTTTCTCCTTTTACCAATTTAGCAAAGGAAACAAAATTGTTAAGTGAATAAATTCTCTCTAGTGGATGGAGACAAAAATGTGGGACATAACTTTGATTCTTGGAGGTGATCTAATAAGTGAGAATATATGGGGTGTTTTTTTGTTTTTTTTAAAGGTACTACAAAATCTTCTGAAAACATTTTTCAAACAGGCCTTTCGGGCTTCCCTGGTGGTGCAGTGGTTGAGAGTCCGCCTGCCAATGCAGGGGACACGGGTTCGTGCCCCGGTCCAGGAGGATCCCACATGCCGCGGAGCTGCTGGGCCCGTGAGCCATGGCCGCTGAGCCTGCGCGTCCGGAGGCTGTGCTCCGCAACGGGAGAGGCCACAACAGTGAGAGGCCCGCGTATCACAAAAAAAAAAAAAAAAAAGAATAGGCCTTTCTACAAGTTGCTCGGTAAATTCTCACCTACAAGAAATGGTGGGAGAAGACAGACACATTCACAGCTAAACACTCACAAGATAGAAAACCAAACCCACACACATTACCTCCCACCACTGGCACATAATGTGAGTGGGTGAGTGGAAGGGAAAACTAATAAGAAATGTACTGAGAAAGTGTATTTACAGAAATAAAATTTGGTGTTATTTTCCATCATAACCTAATGAGCAGTTTGGTTGAGGTGATTGTACATCTTCTTGGGTAATTTTAAACTATGGTTTGAGCATCTGAAATCATTCAGTAGATTATGACATTGACTCCTTCCTTACCTTATCTAGTTTGCTTTAATATCTGAGCTTTAATAATTCTCACCCTCTTTTACTCCCTTTTCCTTTATTTTTAGAATGTTGCCATGCCCCTGCCTTTCTGCCTTGACACTTCCCTGATTTTTTTCATTCCAGCGTCAAGGTTAACAGTTTTTAATGTATGATTATTTCTGTCCTCTGTGGTTCCTAGGAATAATCTCAGATGTACCTGTCAGAGGTGTAATTGATGAGATACATGTACTTTTAGGATTGGTGGTAAACTTCTAGATACTCAATACATTATTTCTCTAAAGATTGTTCTCATGGGATTTTGAGCTCAAACCACATTGGAATCACTTAACTTCCATATTAATAGAAATAGTTTAAATTTGACATCACTAAATGATATCTTGTCAAGATTTTCCACCAATTCTACCCAAGACCCACAAATCTCTAAAGTTCTTTCATGTAAAAAGTCATTGGCCTTCTCTCAATAATCACTTGCTGCCTTTCATTTCTAACTTATTTCAGTGAGTAATAGCTGATTTTATTTACACAACACGTTAGCTAGCAGAGGGAACTTACCTTGTCCTTTTCTCTTTACATTATTGCTTCTCAACTTGAGCAAGTATTGGAATCACCTGGAGAATTGTTACAACCCGTGTTACTTGACACCAGCCCAAGGTTTCTGATTCAGTAGGTCTAGGATGGGGCTCTAGAATTTACATTTCTAGCAAGTTCCTAAATGATGCTGATGCTTTTGGTCTGACACGAGACTTTGAAAATTACTTCCTGGAAAGGCATTGACCTGCTTACTTAAGAGAAAATAGAGACTGGCAATCCAATAATCAGGCTCAGTTAAGCTCAATACTGAGTCAAGATAACTTCCATACATGAAATCAGTGAAACAGTTTTTAATTTAGGCACTTGCATAGACTCATAACATTCAACACTGGAATTGCATTATAAGCTACAGAAATACTTTACTATTAAAGCTACCATCGATTAAGCACTGGTAGCAGTAAGTTTACATATGCCATTTCATTTCCCAAAATTCTATCAATTAGGTATTACTGTTTTTTGGTTTTTTTTCTAAGAAGAGTAAATTGAGCCTTAGAGATGTAAGGTGACCTTCCTAAGGTCACACAGCACGTAAGTGGATGATGGAAGCTTTGAACCCAATTTTGCCTTACTTGAAATCCCAGGCATCTAAGCACTTTCCTCTCTTGTTTCTTTGGTTTCCAGACATTGTAGTTTTACCTTCACTTTCCCTTCCTTTTCAAACATCCTTATTATTATTTTTTTATTATTATTATTATTTTTTGCGGTACGCAGGCCTCTCACTGTTGTGGCCTTTCCCATTGCGGAGCACAGGCTCCAGACGTGCAGGCTCAGCGGCCGTGGCTCACGGGCCCAGCCACTCCGCGGCATGTGGGATCCTCCCGGACCGGGGCACGAACCCGTGTCCCCTGCATTGGCAGGCGGACTCTCAACCACTGCGCCACCAGGGAAGCCCCCATATCCTTATTTTTAACCACTTAATACAAATATCCTTGTGGCTTGCTCCCAATTTTATTCAGTGATAAAATAAAAAGGACATTATATAACTAAAAAGGAAAAATAAATTCGGGGTTTTGTCTTGTGCAAATGACTGTCAATGTTTAAATATTTTTCAAGAAGGTGAGTACTTTAAAAAATGTGACTTGTTAGGCATAGGCATGCATTCACTTGTAATACCTGAATATATAAAGACTGTTGTGATAATGGAAAACATAATAAAGCATGTCTTTATGTTCACATAAAGGCTTGGCAGCCACTCTGAGTGGCTACTCTACAATATGGGCAGGCAGGTTATTTTTTAGAATTGCAATTTTACCATTTTTAGAGTTAAGCATTATTTTGCAATTGTATTTCTGATAATTTTTGCAAAAAGAAAAACGAAAACATGGCTCTTCATCAGTTCTTGCTCCTGCTCTTTCCTTCTGCTGCGCAAGTCAGGGGAATAGTATCCTTCGATAACACAGCCCCTGACCCAGGCTGGGCTTGTACCAGAGGAAGGACTGTGCTAAGGAATCTTGCTTTGAGTGTTTTTTTTTTAAACAAATATTAATTATTTTGAGTCTTTAATGCCATGGAATAAAGATCATTGGACCACTTACCTCTCACAGATTGGAAGAAAAACAAAAACTGAGCAATTTAGTGTCTCTTAGTTCTTTGATGCAATAGGTGAGAAAAACTATTACATCCATTCAGGTCTCCCAGGCCTGGGAGATTTTTATTATTATTAAAAACGACTATTATTTTTGTTAGTATTACTACACTGATTATTATTATTACTATTATTATATAATTAGTAGTTACAGTATTATGATTTCTGAATTTGTAAAAATTCATATTGAATGTTTAGGCTACATTCAATAACTTCTTATGAAGAATACCATGACTAAGAAATTAATAATAAAAATATGGTTGTAAGGAGGATGTTTAAAATTGATGTTTATAGAAACATCAATTTGTACATAAATCTAATCACAGATAATTCTCATGTATTCACTAGAGCAGTTACCTCAAAGGCTCTCAGTGTTAATAGCATCTAATTAGTCTGGTGTCTATTTTTGTATTTTCATAAAACCTAAGATTGTGTTTACTAGAAAATATCTTCAGTTTATACTCTAAAGGTATTGAGGTAGATGGTGTTCCCTTCCCACCTAAGATAACCCTTATTAGTGAGGTTCTACTGTGATAAATATTCACAGGGCAGTATTTAAGAGTTGAAGACAGTTATAGAGGAAGAGAAAATATAGACGTAACTCTGAGATGTGTAAGAAATCTATACCCAGTCTGGTAAAAGCAAAGATATATACTCCACGTTGCAATCTTGTAAAGGAATTTTCTTTATGGGGAATTATACTGCAATTTGTTTCTTCCATCCTTTACTTTTTCTTTCATCTACCAAATGGTGTATACATTTTGATAGTTTGGTGTCACTGTAAGGTCCAACTGTTGACAGAGAGTGGCTGGCATTACAGTTTTAAGCCTTAACTACAATAGCAAGATAAAAGACCTAGAGGGAAAAAAATAGAAAGGGATAATTGGTCTTCTAATGACCATCGCCTACACTGTATCTGCACGTGACAAATGGGGCTGCATGCTTCAACTAAGCAATGCAGTCACTTTGTTTCATCGGCTCAGTTAACCATTATATAAATACATACATAATGAAATTCTAATCAATTATCGCTTTCTTGGTTTTGGCTTCTCTTAAGATTTATGGCTGTTAATTATTAATTTGTTTGCTCTACATAGCATTTCTCTCCCCCTTTACAGCAGCATGCTTTTTTGAATCTGAATGTTCTTCTGTGTTTGCCCCATTTCAGTATTGCTTACTAACATTTAATATATTTTGCTTTTTTTTTTTTAATTTTGCTGACAAAGTTGCATTGATGAAAGCTGACTTGCAAGGTAGATAGCCCTGTGTGTATAAAACAAGACTGAAACCCCGTAATACACAGTGGAAACCTCAAAATAACATTTTTTACATTTTTGCAGTAACTGTTATTTGGTGAATTTTTCCCCTTCTTGAATGTTGTGCAAGAAACCTCATTTTGTAGCATAGTTTGCATAAAGGCTTTCAGTCTTGAATATGTTTGTATAGTGATTACCTTTAGTGCTTTGATCATCCTTTTTTTAGTTCTTTGTTTTTCAGTGTTCTAGTTATGATTCTTTAGAAATAGACTAGCGTTCTTTTTACTTGTATGTTACATGGGGGCATGTCATTTATACAGAGTTTTTAGTTTTATGTTTAATTGCATGAAATTGTTAAAGCATGTGGATTGATACTTGCCAACATACCTATCCAAAACACCCAGCAATCATAACTTTATTCATAGTTTGTGCAGGAAAACTTCTAGAAACTTATAGGACATTTTTGTATAACTCTCTTCAGTGGCTCTTTTTTTTTTTTTTTTTTTTTTTTTTTTTTTAATTGCAGGGGGAAGGGTTCAGTTAAATACAATGCATTTATTAAGCCTGCTTTTTTTTTTTTTTTTTTTTTTGCTAATCTGTATCTCAGTTTCATGAAGTTATAATCTCCATCTCTCATGGTGTCTCTACCCATTGGTCAGAAGTTAAGGAGATCCATGCGTTTTTCTAAAATCCAAACAGTGAGAGAGAATTACTGATGAAGGAATGAGATCACCTGCTCCCATGATCATACGAGAAGCTATGTGCTTGCTTTTACTATTTGCTGGTCTAGTTTACTATTATAATGTATTTTGTCCTGTATTTGAAACTTGAGAAACCTTTATATTACAGCTTCTCTGTTCCTAATTCAGGTGTGTGAACTAGAACTTTCCAAACTAGTTTGGTCATGTACTTTGAGGTGTTGGCAACTACTAAATGTGACCTAGCTCATGTGTGAAACACTTTTAGATTTTTTTAAAGAACCCAAGTTGCTTTTGGATTGTTTTCAGGGCCCAGCACAACCTGCCAGGAGGACTCATGTTCCAACCAAGGCGTGTGCTTGCAGCAATGGGACGGCTTCAGCTGTGACTGTAGCATGACCTCCTTCAGCGGGCCACTCTGCAATGACCGTAAGTTCCCCTCTGAGTGTAGACTGATGCTCAACGTTGCTTCCAGTTACTGTTTGATATCCCGGGTCTAAAGCTGGGAGTCTTTATATTATCCATGAATAAGTTAAACTGTCATAACCAGGAGGAGCACTTGGTTCCACAGAAAGGACATGTTTGAAATACTAATGTATCAATCAAGGATGCCATTAGCCAAAATCTGTGATGATGGTGATTCTTTGGTCTTCAGCTCTTTGTTGGAATTTTTTAAATTGCTAATGGTCACCTTGTCGAAAATAATTTTTTCATTTCCTGTATGTGACACCCCTCCCCTAGTTTTTGAAAGAGCCTTCATGTTGCTTTCTATTAAGTACTATTTCATAAGATTATATCTTGAGGGCTGGAATTTTAGTGAATTGACAGGTTCATTATGTTTCTCTCTCTACATCTTTTCAAGCCCATACTGCCTTTTACATTAAAAAACAGTATGTTTAAACCTTGTCCTTCAACTACTCTCCCTTATGTTTGTGCTTGTGTTTTTTCCCCTTTAGTCTCACAATATAAGCATGACAGGGGACATCCCTGGCGATGCAGTGCTTAAGACTTCACCTTCCAGTGCAGGGGGTGTGGGTCAGGGAGCTAAGATCCCACATGCCTTGTGGCCAAAAAAAACCCAAAACATAAAACAGAAGCAATATTGAACAAATTCAATAAAGACTTTAAAAATGGTCCACATCGAAAAAATAAATAAAATTACATTAAAAAATAAGCATGACAAAGAAACATGATATTCACGTTATATTATGGAATATTTGTGAGTGCCTAATTTATGTGATAGCAGTGTGGATTTTGAGACCATATTAACTGGTATGTGGGATGACGTTCTGTTTCTTAACTTTCGAATAGATACTGCTTTACAACACTTCATCAAAATGATAATACAAGGGTTTCCTACAAAACTTTGCATTCCACTCTCTTGAGAAAATATATCTGACAGAGCCTTCTGGTTGTAAAATATAGTCCATGCTTATGTTGTAAATGCTACAACATTGAAGAAAAAGCTCTCGGGTGGTGGGATAGCAGATGAGATGATTGAAGGTTTGGGCTTCCAGGCAAAGGCTGAGCTTGAGTATGGATTTAAAGAAAGACTAGAGCTTGTTCATTTTGACCTTTATCTATTTGAGACTCTGTTCAGGTCAGTAGATATGTGTATCATAAGGTTGAAGATGGGGTCAAACCAGAACGTGTTATTGAACTGAGTTGTTGCAGCCTAGCAAATATAGTACAATTTCCTAGCTATCTTCAGGTTTCCTATCCAAAATATTAAATATAGGAAGAACAAGCAAGTAATACAAAGTAAATAGTACTTGGAAGAGACATGTAAAGATCATACCACCACAGAAGGAGAAATATTTAGTCTTCATCCTACCAGTGAGCTCTTCCATTACAAGAATTACAAGAAACTTGAAGCCACAAACACATATTCAAACCATCACACGTTTGCAAACACTGTATTTCTGCAAATCGAATCATTCTTACAAACATTAAACCACATTTAGAGTTATGTAAATAACCTTATGTAAAGAGTCAATAAATATTTATATGTACATAAAGAAAAGCAAATCAAAGAAACTATATATCCTTTTAATAAAGGTATGTAAATATATAAATAAAATAGTAACGTCCTGCAGTTGCTCCTGCCCCAGAGAAAATAACATCAACTTATTTTCAAGGACAAACAGAAGACTGATAATTTGTTATGATTTTATTATGACAATTTAAAAATCCTGAGTATGATCCTGACAGATGTAGCTGAGAGAGCTTTTTTTTGCATAAAACTGGTTTTCATTTTGCTAAAGAACCTTCTCTGCCAAATTTTGTGCTTAGTCTAGTTTCCATGTTTTACAAAACAGTTGTCATTTGGTTGTGTCAGATTGTGTATCATCTTATAGCAGTTAAGTATAAAGAATATAATTTTCTCTAGACAGTTCCTAAAGGAACATCAAGGTCCTACCTTAAGTAACATGCTGTCTTCAAATCATTTTTACAGAAAATTATTTGAATGCTGCTCTTGGGTGATAGTAGTGGTGATGACAATGATAAGGCTATTTGTTATTTTCTTGTAAATAAGGTAACTGTCATTCAATAAATATGTCTCCTGATATGCCTCTAGCACAGATCAGCATTAAAATTACTTTGGAGGGCTCTCAGAATACATGCATTTTGATTAAGTCATTATCTCTTTGTGGGTTTTCTGGAAATGTGAAATAGTTTTCTTGGCTTGTACACTGGTGTTTTGGTGGTGAGGATACGTAAGTACAAATCAGTTTTTAAAAGCAAATCTTATTTTCATATCAACTCTAATTTGTAGAAGGTACAATAGTGACAGTTACCTTGAAGACATGCAATTGATATGGCAATAAAAGTAGCATGCCACATTTTCTTCACTTTTTAAATTGATCAAAACAAACCTTATCACTACATCTCACTGTTTTTCTGTAAGTTGCGCAAATAAAATTAGTGTGATTCCTGGGATTTTAACAAGATCCTTTTCTGTATAGAGGTTGACTTTTTTTTAATGAAGCCATTTAGGACATTTTGTTTCTTAATGAAATTTTCGTCTCCACGCTTAGATATTTATCCATAAATTCTGTGGCTGCAGCTGTCAACTGCAAAGAAAACCAAAAAAGGAAGATAGAAACAAAGCTTTTTTGTAAAGAAAGGGAAAGAACACACCACATTGTAAATGAGATCTTCCCACCCCCACCCCTGCCCCCTACAGACCTTCTAAAAGTCATCTCTCTGATAATTTTCACAGAGTTAGAGTAACTAGAAATTTTTATTTATATTAGCCTGGAGACATAATTAACGGGAAGATAGGAATAAGTTTTCTCTCGTAAGTGTAATCCTGGATAAATCATACTAATTAATGAAGTTAAAGGAATCTTTCAAAAAGAAGAGGTACTTAGGCAAAGTGATGCCAAAGGCTACTTTTAAAGAAAAGTGTTTGTGAAACCCTTTCTTCCCTGGAAAGTTGCCATCTAAATGACCTACTCATTGGCAAAAATAATTGCTCTGACTGTGTGTGTGTGTGTGTACGTGCGTGCGTGTGTGTGTGTAACTCCTTAATTCTTCCATATCTGTACCATATTTTAGGTCCCCAATATAATTTTTCTGGCTCATTGTAGCAATATCTTGGTTGAGTTTCCCCCTTCTTATCCCTCCCCTATCCAATCCATCCTATGCCTCCTTGCCAGTTTTGTTCTTTCTTCCTGTTCTCCCTAGTTTAAATACCACAAGCTCTTCCTGATTCTCCTAACGGGAGACAATGCTTTCTGTCCTCTGACCTCTGTAGAACTTTGTTTATGCTATTTTATCAGTCATCACTTTCTACCTTATAGTTACTTATGTTTGGTCTTATCTCCCAGGAACAATAATCCTTTTTGCGGTGGGAGTGGTTCATAAGCCCAATGTTTTGTACCTTATGTTGCATATAACTGTTGATAATAGTAACTCATTAAATCAGTGTTGACCAGATGCATGAATCTTGCATAAGGATTTCTAGGACATCCTCAGTGGTCAACAATACTCTCCAAATTCATCAGTTTGGAGTTCATGAACCTCCATGGTCTGACCCTAGCTTTTGTTTTCATTCTTATCTATTGTAGAACTTTGTCCATATGGCATGTTACCGCCAGTTAACTTATGGTGTCTGAGCAACATTACACTTTCCCAATTTCCTCACCATTGCTTATGCTAATTTCTCCTCCTGGGGATTGCACTCCTTCCACCTAGAATGCATTCCTTTCACTATATCTGCTTGAAGAAATGTAATTTCATTTTTCAATCATTACCTAAACTGCTTCATCCCATGGAAACTTCCCTGGTCCTCTGAGCTGGGCCTCCTTTCCGTCTTCTGGAATCTTAGAGCAACTGTTTTTGCACTTAGCACTTAGATTTGTGAACTTTCTCTTGGATGTAACTACTTACTGAGTGCATGCTGGGTGCCAGGTCTGTGTTAAGAGTTGATATTCATTGCATTAAATCTACATATCACCTGTTCATGCTTGTGCACACACACCATCATCAGACCATTGTGCTACAATAATCCTTTTTTGCATCTACCCTGTGGTCCAGAATAGAATGTAACCATACTAGCTAATTTAATGTCAGGTTGGGGAAGATGAATATGGCTATGATCATACGGAAAATAGTGAACATAATAACACTGTCACATTACATTAGTGTGGAAATGTTGTGTGCCAAATTACAGTTCAGCTTCAATGGTGTCTGTTACCATAAGGGATTAATACATCATAGTGCTGTTATTTTGGTGCTAGGAGGGTGAGGGCATTGCCATTAAAAGAGTATTTTCAGAATTCTAAACTTTGCCCAAAGAAAATCTTCGTGATAGGAATTCATCATATCTTTTGTATGAGAATTAGTATTGTTCATTGAAACAAGGATGAAATACATTTGACTGTGACTTGTTCCCATGGCATTTTAAAGTATCTTCAGCTTTTTTCTCACCTTCTTTCGTTGTTTGAAAAGAGAATCCAATACCCAGTATTTGAGCATCAATATCAGAACTACTGGAAATGAATCATAACATACATAAAAATAACTTGAATCAAAGTAACATTGTTTCTCTCCGCTGTAGATCTGCCAGTAGTATTAAGCTGTGAGCTGATTCGCTACTGATGCCATTTATGGCTGGATAAAATTTAGCAATTAGCTATGTCCACAACCAGATCCTCATTGTGAGTATGGTGAATCTTATCAACCTTAAATCATTCAAGCATTTCTAAATGGCGGCCCTGAAGTTGTTGGAAAGCAGTTCATAAGTAATATTTACCAATAATGCTTTAGAAAAACTAATGCATAAAAAGAAGCGTTAGTCTCTTTTCATATTGCAGTTGGGCAAATGACAGTTTTAAGCTGTATCTACATAAGAAAATTTAAGTGGGAAGGGAAGTCCCCAAACAGTGGAGTGTAGAGTATTTGCTGTATTTGAATTACTCAGA